CCCCCCACCCACCTGTCGACTTCTTCTTAATTGCCAATTCTAACTGCTGTAACTAATGGAACCAATAATCCTTGTCTTTTTTTTTTTGTTCCTCACTCTCCCTCCTCAGCCTCATCTTCATCARCAGCCCTGTTGTTGTAGAGCAGGTGCAGCGCTGGTGGTGCTGGTTTTCACAAGCACTGTAATCTGCAACAGACGCTGCAGTCCCACTGGACAATCTGTTTGTACATGACTTTGAAGACGATAAATAAATATTTCTTACAAAGATGCTTTGGTTTTCTTTTCCACTCTTTAAGAAGAGCTAAAGTTTTTTTTTTCCCCTCAAGCTGCTGATGCAAGATTCAGATGAGTCACCCTCAAGGATCAAGAGTACAACTTCGTATTACCAACTTTTATTAAATTGTTCATATGGGTAATATGCTAATAGGTCAATGAGTTAAAATCATGGAGTTTAGCTGTGCAGAAACTGACATTTACTATTAAAGTGAACTGAGTAGTTGAAACTTTACATTACTGGATAACCATTTAATTCAACTGCAAGCAAACTCCAGGGGTGCCACTAGGAATTTTAAGCCCCATGTCAAAAATTCAAATTGCTCCCAACCCATCATTTTGATTTGTTGTGTAATCGTAAAACAAGAAAGACAGAGAAATCCCCACAAACTCACTGCAATGATGCTGACAAGCAATCGAACAGTGTTTCTCATCGTTTTCACTAGAACAGAGGAGATTATGTTGACATGAGGAGTTGGGGTTGCTGACTGACTCATCTAAGTGTGGTAAAAGGCACAGATTCAATAACTAAAAATCTTGCTAAACATTCCCCTTCACTGTTTAAATGCTGGTGAAATGGAGACAAACAGGCTGATCGCACTTATCTACCCACCTCTCTTGGAGAAAAACTGGTGACATTTATTTTGTCTTTCCATTTTTTGAAAACCTGATTTGAATATTTTTCTAGACAACATGGTTATTCTCACTCTGTCATTCTCTTATCTTCTGTCTGCTATTAAACACTCACTGCCAAGTGTCCTGAAGCAGGAACAAATGTATGCAGGAGGTGTATAAATATGGACATAAGCTTTTTGTTTTGGGACAGGTAACATTTAATTTTTACTGCCAAAATAAGTATAAACAAAAGTATCAATTTTATTGACTGGACCCCCACACAAATTTTTATTTATTTATTTTGGTGGGGGGGGGGGGGGGTCAGCAAGGGGCCCTTTGAATTTTCCTGCCCCCCCCCCCCCCAAGCTATAAATCTGTGGCATTGGCTACGTTAAGCTCTGGAGCTAAAGCTAATAAGAGGACGGCTGTGGCGTATGGTTAGAGGAGTCTTTACATAGCCGAAGGATTGCTGGTTCAATCCTCCATTCCACCCATCTCAGTTGTTGTGTCCTTGGGTAAGACACTTCACCCACTTTGCGTACTGATGGTGGTCACCCCCCAATTTACACTACATGTGTCTCTGCTCTGCTTCGGTCTGACCTCCGCAGCAAATATGCAACCATCATAATCAATGAGAGTATTTACACTGGCTCCGCAGGGCGGTGGTGACGTGACGGCGATACGGCAAAATTAGATCTGATCCTATTTTTGCATGATGCCGAAGCTTCTCCGGAGTCAATAAGATCACATCGCACCAACAGGAAAAGGAACGAACACAACATCCATATTTTCAAAATAAGACACCATGTGGTGGAATAATTCTGTCGAAATTGCAGCTATATTAATTAATATATGACTATATTTCTACACAAATGCTGTCAGAATGCATATGGTTTTGTTTGGGAAGCAGACACCAACAAGTAGCATGAAGCATTTGTGTACGATACACATGGATTTTATTGTGTAATCAGAAGTTTCAAAAAGACGACAGTGATACAGTTTCAACTATAGAAATCAAAAATCAATCTCTGATTGTACCATATGCTGATCTATCTCATTTCTGCAGCGGGGCGGAGTCGCATGTAGTGTAAATCCAGGGTCAGAGGGTCCGGTGGCGCCAGTACATGGCAGCCCCGCCTCTATCAGTGTACCCCAGGGCAGCTGTGGCTACAATGTAGCTTACCACCATCAGTGTGTGAATGGGTGAATTTCTGAAGTGTAAAGTGCTTTCGGGTCCCTATGGTGCTTGATTAACACTATATAAGTTATAGCAGAAGTTATATGAGGCTTGATAAAGCCCCATATAACCCAAATGCCACCAGCAGGCTTGATACAGCGCTATATACAGTAAGTTTAGTCCATTCACCATCACATTAGCTTAATGGTGTGTTCACACCAAACGCGATTTCAGCGTCAGGAGCAGCAGGTTTACATGCAAAGTCTATGGTGGACACGCTTCAAGCAACGTCGGGAAGTTCTGCGGCGCCTCAAGCGCGATTAGAGCAGCGCGATTTGAACGATTTGAACGATCTGAGCGTCTAACGCGCAATCGTCCAAATCGCTGAAGTTGGGAAATCTGAACTTTTGCAGCTCGACGCGCAGCGTCAACCAATCAGAGAGACTCCACTGTGTGACGTAGCGACATATTTCCCGACGGGACAGTTTACTGAATGAKGTCCACTAACCTGAAACAGACGGAGCTCCTGCTCTTTAGCTAAAATGAGTGCTGCAGTCGTGTCCTGATCCGCAGCAATGCGTGACAGCGACTCATCAGACTGGAAAAATAGTCCTGAAAGCAGCTGTGAGCCTCTTCTCTGAATTATCTGGTGAATTAATTATGAATTAATTATCTGATGAACGTGACACGTTCTGGCTGTCTGTAAATAAAGCAAAGCCACTTCCTCGTCCGACATTAAACAGAGCCCGACAGAGGAGGGAGGGGCGGGGCGGCTGTCGCCGTGCAGCGCAGATGTCTGCGTCTGACCTCAAAGTGCACAAGCTTCAAACTTGAGCGTTGGCTGCGATTTTGAAGCTGAAATCGCGTTCGGTGTGAACGCACCATTAGAGCTAACGCTATATCCAGAGTTAATTTTCCAAACATCATGTTTGATTTTTTCAGCCCGTGTTGTGCAGAACATAGAAACTAATACAAACTATAACTTTGTCACAAATTATAGCATTTTAGTCTTAACTCCTCGTGTTTTAGTCTCAACTGTAACCAATCTCTAAAATGCATTGTGTCAGTAACAAAATGTATGAATGTAACAAGAATTTAATAAACATACATTTTCTTAGGTAATAGATGTTTTTATGTCAAAAACAACTTTAGTAGAATAGAGAAATAACTGTGTAATTTTACTACCAACATGTGCAAGTAGTCAGAGATCTCTTTAAATATAAATGACAGTGCACATCAAGGGGCTGTATATTGCTCCATCAATCCCCATCCTGGTCTTACAAAGGGCTTTAAGCTGTTTTGTTTTTGTTTTTTAGCTAGATGTAGCCACCAAACTGGGATCTTTAGTTTATGCTTCTTTATTATTTTGTCTACAAGAATACAAGAAAAGAAATGTCTCCGGGTATAAAATAACCCAAAGTGCTTGTCTTCATGCTTCATGCCTGCATGAATGATTGGTATTAATTATTTGGGGGAACCTGCAGGAAGTCTTTTTTGCTGCCCTGATTGCTGGGACATRATCCACTATGTGCCATTACCACTGAGCTATCAAGCAGTTTTCAGTAACAATAATCATATTTTAGAGTTTCGGCCATTTTCAGGCTTTCCCTTCTTAATCCACCCCCCACCCTCCAGGCTTCTGCCTGTAGTAGCGTATTCATGAAATCATCATGAACTGTTGCTCACAAGCCCAGAAAGATGAATAGACATAATTAAAAAGCCCATAAAGGCGAGAGCAGGGGCTTTTATTACAGTAATATGTGAAGGCCTTGTTTTAATGGGGTGTTTGTTCCCGTGTGTAGGGGCTGACGGCGGTGCTGGTTTACTGCCGACCGCCCCCCTCCCTTCACTTCCCAATCCCATCACACCAGAGGCTAATAAAAAGCCTAACCTAATGATTCACCAGCAGGAAGCATGACAGCAACCAACACACAGAGGCAGAGTGATGGACAAAAGACGTGGGGATCAGATGTAGTTTTTAGATAAAAAGGAGAAAAAATGGTCTTAATCAGTGCAGTTCGAATGGGTTGTTGCAAGAACGCGGTTTGTTGAGGTTTCTCTTGATACCACTGATGATCATTTGACAATTTAAAGGGAAAAACGGTTCGTTTTGGACCACCTGAGAGAACTGAATGAGTGACATTCTCTACACATGTACTGCTAAAAGTTTCCCATTACCTGCAATAGCGTTAAAAGGGAACATACTGTAAATGTGTCAATCAGTCAGATTGATGTTGGTCTGAACTTCACTTTCCAGCTTTATATCTGGCTGCTTATTCTCCAGTGGGTGAGGAAAAAAAAACAGGTACATGTTGGGATGAGAGTTAACAGCGGGGCCAAGTATCCTTTTAAGAAAAAAGACCAGGATTCAGTGTCAAAGCAAGAAAGACTTGTTGTTGCTAGACTAAAAGGGGACCATATTAGCAAACTTTTACAACACCAGCAAACAAAAGGCAATGTTGTCTTTATGGTTGATTCTCTTGATTCTTCTTRGTGTCCGACAGTTCCAGCTGAAGATGTTTGACACAGTAGCAGCTAGGTGCATCATATTTTTGTCATTTTGTTATTTGGTGTTAGCAAAGTAGTGTTTAATAAGCGTTTCTGACCTTAAATTATTAAAAAGTTTAATTAGATTTGACAAAGATGTTAGGAAATGTGAGGAAAGTAAATTTGTACTGCTTTATTCAAAGGCAGTGAAATGCACTGTTGAGCTATTTGACGCTATAGGGTTAGCAGCCGAGTGCTAGACTTAGCTAGCAGAGAGTAATGTTGTGTATAAGTGCCAGGATTACTGTGACCAGTTGTACGTCAACAGATGTGGATTTTTATTCCAGGAAATAAATGAAGATAAGATGAGTTATAACATGATTGTCTAGAAAATAGTCTGCAAGTTATTAGAAACAAATATGTACCCAGGTGATTGGCTGGGCCATTCCAGCAGCTTTATTTTCTTTCTCTGAAACCAACTGAGAGTTTCCTTGGCTTTGTGT